AAAATAATAAATTAAGAACTCCAGTGGCTTTTGTTTTTCCTTCTTCTTTAAAGTGCTGCCCTCTCTCTATGGTGAATGAACGAAAGGACTTCAGATCCCCACGACAACCCCTCGTAGGGCCGTTAATCCCTTTCTAGAAGGGATTCTAGAGGGATTCTGGGAGGTGGTGGTCTCACAGAATGAGGCCATACTTCTTCTGGGCCCACCTCCCCATCCTCTCCACGAGCTCTTCTCCTCTGTGCACGTTCTTCGCCATGCACTGATTTGGTTTTCTGTCACCCTTGTAGAAGAACACTGCTGTCAGCCCCCTCCCCACAGTAGCCGCTGTGTGGGAAGTGGGACAGCTCGAAGCCCTCTCATGTAAAGACCCCCGCGGGTCACACAGGGCAGCTTTCAGTCCAAAGTATAAATGGGAACAAGAGCCTTCTCTACCTTGCAGGTCAGCTTTGGTCAACGCAACTTTGTTAGCAAAAGAACAGGAAAAGCGGAAACAATAACCAAAGGTTAGTAAGAGGAAGAATCAACCACATATCATTACAGAAACGAGAAATGCAGTGTGCATAACCAACATCACTCAGACAACTGATAATGCCAGACAAGGTCACAAGAGACAGCACAAACGAGGGGACGCGCAGACCAGGGTAGAGCAGGCCTCCTGAGAGCCAAGTCAGCAGAGCAGGAGCAAGGAGACAGTGGACACAGCACAAGCAATGGGGACAAGAGCCCTCCCACACGCACAGAGCCAGCCCCAAGGCCGTCCAGAGATAAAGGCAGCGTGTAGCCAGACTGAAAGACAGGTGTGCACAGACAGAACCCACAAAAATAACTCAGAACATTTACAAGTTGAGGATGAAAGAGTCACTTGGAAATACCTCTTGTACCCACCTGAAAATGCCACCAAAGAAACTGGCTCCAAATCTAGACTTTTTTTTTTTTTTGGATGGGGGGAGGATATAAGGGCGTGGTGTTCCTGGGGCTTGAACACTATCCCTGAGCTTTGGATTTTTGTTTGTTTGTTCTTGCTCAGGGCTGTTACTCTACCACTTGAGCCACAGCTGCATCTCTAATGTAGGCATTTCTATCAAGGTGATTGATTTGAGAAAGTCAACGTATCTAGTTGGTTCATCTTATAGCCAAATCGAAAAGTTTGTGGGCAAAAAAGGCACCAAACCAAGATCCTTTTTATGTACATGAAGTGCACATTTTTCTCAGATGTTTATCATCTGTGATGACAGGATATCATTTCTAAATAACAGTGTGTTGGTCTACATAGCAAAGTTGGCCTCAGTATCAACATAGGGTAAGAGTTGTACCAGCCAAGCATTAAAGAAACCAGGCAGGATTTAAAGAAATCCTAGCCACATTCCAGAGGCCAAAAGTCACAGTTAAAAGCTGACTAGAAAATATGCTTAGTTTCTAAATTTTACATACTGGTGATATTAGAGACACCAAATCAAAACCTACTTTAAGGGTTTTCTCTGCTACAAAAAAAAAAAAAACAAAAACCCTGAGACCCATAGAATATTGTAAAAATAATTCTGGACTCAGATAGCTCAAGAAAAATAATACATTGACTACTTGAGGATGTTGAAATGGCATTGTTAAGGACATTAAGAGGAACACATGATATATCCTAGTAACCTAAATAAATAATCATGAAACATAGTTGTCATCTTAAAGAAACCCAGGTCTTAGTTTTTAAGTTTTGTTTGTTCTTCTGTCCCTAGACATAAAGAATCATGATATGCATGCTATTTTTTATGTTTTCCATATTGTTTAATACCCAAAGGCCTGTTGGGAGTCACACGTATATACAAGAGATACTGAATGACAATGACACCTCACTGTAGACAATGTTTGGGGTGTTCTATTTTCCTTCTCACTGTCTTCCACAGATTCATCTCCACAGGACCCTGAAGAACTCCTGGGATCCTTCATGAAGGCTTATTCACAATAGGGCAAATTTCCAATGACAGTAATTTATGCCTACACCCACTTTTTGGCTATTTTTCCTAGCCACTTAGGCTAATTATCTATGTCATCTGTGTACAATAAACAAGGGCCTTCTTCCCCCAGCACTCAGCCCTCCACTTCGTCCCACCCAGTAGGGCAGTCATAATGCTCAATGGGCAACCATCATAATTATCTCCATGGCAATAGAGTGCAGTGTTATTAGACCCATGGGAGCTGCCATAGATGTGGATGGGGAGCCATCAAGTCACAATATCCGGCTTTGAACAATCACCCATACTTAGAGGAAAGTCAGAACCCACCATAATGCATGGGATGAGTCAGGCTGAACTACACACAGAACTGCAGGCAAGAATGGGAACATTTCCCCAATTGATAGGTAATTTCCTCTCGCTAATGTGCTCCAGGCTTCTCTCAAAGCTCTCTTAAGCAGGGCCCATTCTCCCCTCCATACTGCACATTCTGTAAAAGTGAGCTGAGGCCCCCTCTTAATCTAATACTCCAGCTATACTTCTTGGCACCCTGATTTTTATATTCTAGAGAGCCGTGCTTCTGATAGAGCAGTCAAAGATACATGTGGCTAAAATGTGCTTTAAAAATTTGTAATTGGAACTGAGGTATGCTGCAATATGCATAATATTAGAGGCTAAATATGATCAAAATATTAAATAGCTATTGATAAGTTTAGTCAACTACAGGCTAAAATGATCATATTTGAGATCTACTGGATTAAGTAAAATATAAAATGAAAATTAAGTTTAGCTGCTATTAGATATTAGGAATGATTAATTTACAGGTGATAGATGTTTGGGCAATGTAACCATACAGTTAAAGTGGTGATTCCTTCTGGCTTTTCAATCAGAATGAATGAAATCATATGATTTTAAAAAATAGCTTTTATAGAGAGCCTTATGCTTTTAAAAATGTGTTTGTTGTTGATGTTGTTTTGTGCCAGTACTGAGGCTTGAAATCAGAGCCTCATGTTCTTGCTTAGATTTTTCTGTTTAAAGTTGGCACTCTAGCACTTGAGCCACATTTTCACAGCTGGCTTTTTGCTAGTTAATTTGAGTCTGTCAGATTTGTCTGACCAGGATGCCTTTTAACCATGTTCCTCAGATATCAGATTCCTGATACTCAGATTCCTGAGGTATGATCCACTGGTGTTAACTTACTACGTACTTTTATTTTGTTATTTAACTTGATTTGATTAATTATTCCAAGATAGCTGAACCTACTATCACTCCACGGTCTTCTCAAGTAAGACAATTTAATTCCAAATGCTGTAGATAGCCCAATGTAGCCTTGACTTTTATAATTTAAAAAAATAAAGAAGAAGAATAGGCCAAGGAACTCCCCCCCCAAAGAAAAAAAAACTGAGTTGACTTAAGTATTTCTGGAACATAAAATTGTGATCTTAAGTTCCTTGTGATTCCCTATACCTGTCTCCCTACACACACACACACACACACACACACACACACACACACACACACCACATTAGGCTATCAGAATGAAAAAAAGTCCTAGGTAAAGGAAAACTAGCATAGACCATAGGAACTGTCAGACTTCTACTCTTCTTCCAACTCTCATCACTGTGAGTCATACTGAGAAGCTGATTAGAATCTTTTCCAAAAGTGTACTTTTACAGGGATGAGTGAGCTCAGATGGAAGTTGGTTAAAAACAGGAGTGAGCTATGAAGTTGAACACAAGAGGTGAATAAGCAGATTTGACATGGTAACTTAACAAAGGATGCAAGAAAACATCGCACAAGGGACCATGAGACTCAACCAGAGGACTGAAGAGGTAGATCTTGTCAACCAACCCAACCCAGCTGCCCCCTGCTGGCTCAAACTATACTGTTTGAGTTGCAGAGAAGGGTTGAGATTTGGAAAAATGTGTAAAATTCCTTTAACATCTCAAAGGAGATTGGATTGTCCACAAAAACCGGCTGAGCTTGGTCTATTGTGCTAGATGGGCCAGCAGGCAATCCTATTAGATGGCTCACACGAGATTATTTATAAACAATCCCGTGTTTATTGAATACCAGCCACACATCAGGCATTTTATTTTTCTGATGTATACATATGACCTTTGAAGGTAAGTCTTATTGCCTTATTTATTTATTTTGGTCATGGGGCTTGAACTCTGGGCCTAGGTGCTATCCCTCAGCTCTTAGCTCAAGGTCAGCATCTACCACTTGAGCCATAGCACCACTTCTGGTTTTCTGAGTGGTTATTGGAGACAAGAGTCTCATGGAGTTTCCTGCCCGGGCTGGCTTTGAACCGTAATCCTCAGATCTTAGCTTCCTGAGTAGCTAGGATTATAGGCATGAGCCACTAATGCCCGGTTTATTGCCTAATTTTATAGTGAAGAAATATGCAGCCTAGAGAGGTTGAGTAACTTGCCAAACTGTCACATACCTAACACAAGTTACTTACTGTCTGGCCCTGAAAATAGGTCATTCTTATATCCAAGCCCAAGATGTTCCTCAACACCTCCCTGAGGAGCAACTGGAACAATGCCTGATATCTACAAAGTATTCAATAAATATTACTTCCCTTCCATTGTCATGGCATTCGGACATCAATTCCCATCTCCTGGTGAAGTTGCATTCAACAATGCGGTCATTATTTGCCACACTGAGAAGCGTTTTATTAACCCATAGAAAGCCACCCCTTGCCATGGATGAAATTGTCTTTAAAAAGCCTGAGAGCCTTTCAGCTACTCTAGAAACAAAAGCAAATACTAGGAGAGGCCAGATGCCATTGCAAGGGAAGATTCTTTTTCTTTTTTTGGCAAGTGTGTGATCCTGGGAAGACACATTCCTGAAGCCTGGGGCCCAAGGCCTGGCATTCTCAACCAATGACAAGAGGAGATCACCAATGGTAATGCAAAAACCGAAACAAACACAGATGGCAAGTGGGAATGAGAGAGGATTGGCGGAACAAAGAAAGAGGCGCCAGCAGAGGCAGCAAGGAGGCTCAGGGCTTGCAAGTAGGGAATAGCTTCAAAAGAGGAGAGGCTCTACCTTCACAGCCGCGCTCAATCTGCCCACTCCTGTGGAGAGCATCATTGATAAGGTCTGGAAGGCGCCCATTCAAGTCCACAGATGCCAGACAGCCCTGAAAGCCGTCCCGGGAAGCCACGAGCTTTGGGAGATTGCTGTACATGCCTTGGGCTAGGCCAGCCATGTAGAGGTCACCTAGAAGGAAAAGTAACAGAAGAGACAGAGAGATAGGGAAGCCGTGTCAGCTACAGCCAATGCATTTCAGACTATTCCTTAGGTAATGTTATCCTACCTAGATGGGGGAGATAAAACAAGAATTAATACCGATTATTTCTAATGATTAATCATTTTTAAGATTTCAAGAAAAGAATCCAACACTTCTCCAACACCTCTTGTATGGCATTCATTATATACACATCATCTCACAAGTTTGTTGGTGGTTTTGTGTGTGTGTGTGTGTGTGTGTGTGTGTGTGTGTGTGTGCATGTGCATGTGTGTGAGTCATGGGGTTTGAACTCGGGGCCTGGGTGGTGTCTCTGAGCTTTTATGCTCACGATTAGTGCTCTACCACTTGAGCCACAGCGTCAGTTCTGGCTTTTTTGGTGCCTAATTGGAAATAAGAGTCTCCTGGACTTTCCTGCCGGGGCTGGCTTTGAACCATGATGCTTAGATCTCAGCCTTCTGAGGAGCCACCAGGCTGATTCATCCCACAAGTTTCAATCAACATATCAATTCAACAACGTAGAAATAGTTCTCATAAGATGAGGCAAATGTTCGACGCACTGGAGGGCAGAGGCAGCTGAGAAAAGCCACTTCCTTATATACCACCTGTCCCAATTATACATCACCTGTCCGAGTCGTCCTGTCCTTCAGGGGCACTAGCCCAAAACTGTTCAAACTCACAAAACAAGTTACATGCTAAAAGTTCCTGCTGACCTGGCCGTATAGACCCTGCTACAACCAGACTCTGGGTGACCTCTCTGATCCTGACCAGGGAGTTCACCCGGGGGCGTACACCAATAAACTTTCCTCTCTTCACCTTTACCACCTCCTGCATGTTCGTTCCTCACCTAAAACCTTACTTTAATGGCATTGTCAGCAACATAAGCCTGTACTGAGTGCTTTTTATTTGCTTTCACCTATAATATGCTGAGAGTTTTACCATTCAAACTCCAAACAATCTCATTCCCATTTTAATTAAAGGATATACACAAGCTAAATAAGGCTGAGAAACTTCTACTAAAATCACTGAGGTAGTAAATGCCTCAAGTAAGATTCTTGAGCCTTTATACCTTATTTAGGACCTTCTACTTTTTGTGTATGTGTATACTGGTAATGGTGTTTGAACTCAGGGTCTAGATGCTGTCCCTTAACTTTTCACTCCCAAACTGGGGCTCTACCACTTGAACCACACCTCCTCTTCTGCCTCTTGGTTAATTGGAGGTAAGAGGCTAGCTTTAAAACCAGAATCCTGAGACCTCAGCCTCCTGAGAGGACTGAGTATTACAGGACTAGTATTACTAGTATTACTAGTATTACAGGACTAAGTCACCAGTGCCCAACTCTTCCTACCATCCTGACATCAAGAAAATGTTCATTCAGGTGTGGTCTATGTGAAAACTAAGTGGCATGGTGGTATAATTTAGCATTGCTCAATAAAGATATTTATGATGCATCAAAACTTTCATGGCATTTACAAATTATAGTTTGCCTCTCACGACGGCCTTGCTTGGTGAGGAACGCCTCAAGCTTTACCTTTCAGATCGAGGTTTTTGGCTCCGTTGATAACCTGAGTGACCACCTTGGTGTCCACTTTCAGACTGTGGGTGTTACTGTTGTCCCGAGTGATGACCACATTGTGCCACTGGTTGTCATTCAGGGGGCGATCACTGTTGCCTTTGATCACATTGGGGCCATTTCCCAGGTCAAACACGTAGTGAATATACCTACGGGAGACAAGAACCCCACCGTAAATTGAGATTCCCTCAAGTGGATTAGGGCAATGTGTGTATAATGGATGTCAGGGACTTCAGATCTCCAAAACTGACCTGTTATGTCACAGCCGTGAAATCACAAGTTGGGTTTTGCCATGGTCAGCAACAAATATGTATCACTTCATTCTAATCAGCATACCTCTCACTCTACAGATAATACTGCCCAGACTAGAGAGGAGTGCAGCTAATATGCTGCGTAACACTAGGGGGCAGCATTCAAATTACTTCAATCACAGACGGTGATTTGTGTTTGCTTTTTGTTTCACTTTCCAACACGTAGCAACAGAATGTCTGGCAGAATGGGAAGATTTATATTTAAAAAAATGGTAAATGATCTCATGGTAGGTTTGAAAATACATGCATTTCTTGTTATAAATGTGGTGGCAACCATTAGAATTACTTGAGATGATTGTCATATACACCGCTGCAGCCCCCTATAATTTTAAAGGATTGTGTTTTATAGTAAAAAGTCTGGTTGTATTAATTCAATGGAAGAATTTTATTTGTGTATTTCTTTACTAGTTTAAAAATATTTTTCTCTTACATTACTAGTGATTAAATATAGGGCCTCATGCATGTGTACTACCACTGCCCACTCTGGCCATCTTGATTTTGTATTTTATTTTAAAGTAGTGGGCTTTGAACTCAGGACCTTGTACAGGCTGCGCAGTCACTCCACCATGTGTGTTTTCCAAGCCCTTTTGGCTTTAGTTTTTTTAGATAGGACACCACATTTTTGCCCCGATTAGCTAAGACTGTGATCCTCCTATTTATGTTTCCAACACAGCTGGGGTGACAAGAGCATGACACCACTCTGGTTTGTTGTTATTGTTGTTGTTGTCAAAGCTGGCCTAAAATTCATGCCTCTACCGCCTACAGCAGGTGTGATCGATCTAGGCATCCATTACCACATCTGGCTGGGTAGATCTTCCAATAAACTCACAACTCCCTCTCTTTTCCCACCTTAAGCATTGTGTGGATGTTCCTCACTGATGAGACCCAGGCAAGAACCAAAGTCATCAAACAGAATTCTTCCTGTCTGTATTTTACGGAGGTCTGAAAAGACCACATCCAACGTGGATTTACTTATAGGATCCCTTCCACTTACCCTTTGACTAGCTCAACTGCAATAAAGTCATTGCCATCACCACTATTAAAGAGGATGAAGCCGTCCGCGGAGGTGGTCTTGAACTGGAAGAAGAGGTGCATGGAGGTGTAGGCCTGGAGGGTGGCCAGGCTCAGGTAACTACTCTTGGTCTTGAAGGTGACTGGGTCAGCGATGATGTTCCTCAAACCAAAGCGCGCCTTCAGCTCACAGTAGTCGATGTCGCCGTTCTTGCACAAGTCGATGTAGAGCAAGCCGTTGAACACGAGACTCTGCAAGTGGCCGATGAAACTGGACGGGACGACGGAGATGTACCGCTTCTCGGTCATGATTCCAGTTTCGATGTTGTGGAACTCCAGGCGGGTGTGGTCTCCGACCATCGTACCTAGGGAAGTCAGGAATGAAGTCAAGACAGGGAAGATTACATCGTAGGACGGCCGCTTGTAGGCGGAACCCTTCCACACAACACACACAATGTTCTTGATTCCGTTCCAGAAAACAAAAGATTCATGATAGGCTGTTCCTGAGTTGGCCTCAGGCAGGGAGCTCATGGGCCAGCTCAAGTAGTACATTCCGCATCCACACTCTCCTGCAGCTCCTTAGAAGACCTCATCACATAAAGGAAGGGAGAGGCCACAGAAAGCACACGTTAGAGGATAAAGCTATTCGTTTGCTGAGTGCTAACACACACCGGAAGAAGAAAAGCCTCTGTTGCTCTAACCTTTGTAAAGATTCAACAAATGAGTTTTATTCATTACCAAGGAACTCCCTGCTATAATAACTCCCCACCTAGAGCCCTCATGAGAGCTTCTATTATAGAACGTTGGATTTTTACCTTCTACTCATTGCTAACTTTTTCTAGTAATAGCACCTAATTTTCCCTTGCACTTAAAACATTGTAACCTGGACAAAGCTGATGTGGGGTGTCTGTGTGTGTGTGTGTGTAAAGCTGATGTGGGGTGTGTGTGTGTGTGTGTGTGTGTGTGTAAATGTGTGTGTGTGTGTGTGTGTGTGTGTGTGTGTGTATGCGTGCGCCAGTTCTAGGGCTTGAACTCAGGGCCCAAGTACTGTCTCTTAGCTTTTATACTCAAAGCTAGCACTCCACCACTTGAACCACAACTCTTACTTCTGCCTTTTGGGTGTTTAATTGGAGGTAAGAGTTTCAGATGTCTTCCTGCTCAGGCTGACTTAATACAGTGATCCCCAGATCTCAGCCTCCTGAGAAGCTAGTGACAAAGCTGATCTTAACCAAGCTATGTGGCTTATATCCCCCTACCAGTGGTTCATATCTGTCAAAGAAGCTATACAAAAGGAATACATAGGAGGGTTGTGATCCAAGGCCAACTCTAGGCAAAATATATAAGACTTCATCTTGAAAATGAAAAAGCAGACAAAATACAGCTGGGACATTTACAGCTGAAGTGGTAGAGTGCTTGTATACCAATCATGAGGTCCTGAGTTCAATAAGGAAAAAGGTAATTTGCACTCTTTCGGGGTTTTTTTTCTCTCTTTCTCCTATTTTATCCCAGAATTCAACAAACAAAAGTTTGAGGGCTATGGATTATTTTTCAAGACCTCTTAAATTTGAATCTGAGCAATTCAAATGCATTCTATCCTTGGATGTTCAATACAGATTTCATCTCTTCAGGAATAAACTCTGATGTGGTTCAGAGTTGCCTATAAGCACAAAAATCAGATGTACATTTTATGAGCTTCTCTGTGGTGTTTTGACAACTACTGACAAGTTACTCTCTTCGCATAAGCAAAAACAAAATAACAATGCTGTTTAACTTAAAAATAAATGGTAAGAGCATAAACATCAAAATGCGCCATCAATCCTATAACAGCTGAATAGTAGAAAGAATCACTGCATAAAATTACTTTGTATCAAAACCCTACATGGAAATGCAAAGTAACATGACCTAAGTTCACAGGATCTCAATCAAGGAAGTGGTGGAAATAGGCAGTTCATGTCCATTTGGATCCAGCTGTTCATGCCAGGCCCAGGGCCTGGATATGGGAATGCTGGGCAGGGTCACAGCCAGCCTCCTGGGGTCAGAGGAGCTGAACTAAGGCCCTGCGGTGGCTATGCTAACATGTATGCTACTAAAAAAAATCTATAATAGAACTCTAAAATAAGAATGGTGATTCCAGGTAATAAAAGGGGAGGTCTCTGGGCTCAAAGGGGAATCCATCGTTTTAAAGTCAATTGGGAGCTTTTTAGAAAAGTTCTAGATAAACTGACCTTCAGGATTAAGAGGTGAGAAAATCCTGCTCACTAAAAAAGAAAAAAAGAAAATCAATTCTTATAAAGCAAGAAAAAGAATGAACAGTGTTGGGTGAGGGAGAGGACAGAGCAAGAACTTGGAGATGTAGCATAGAAGCCAAAAATGGAATTCAAATGTTGATCCAGGATCTCTGCAACAGGCTGTAGGATGATTCAGACAGCAGCTCAACTAGAAGGCTACAAGGGCTAAAATAGAGAAGAAATTGGCTTTCCTCCTGGCTAAAAGATCTCACTTCTCTATGAATGGAGATTCCAACAAAGAAAAAAAAGACATATGTTCACACACCTGATAAAGGTATTTAAAAAAAAAAAGTTTGCTCAGAACCAGGCACCAGTGGTTCTTGCCTGTGATTCTAGCTACTCAGAAGGCTGTGATCTGAGGATCACAGTTTGAAGCCAACCTTGGCAAAAAAGCTCATGAGACTCTTATCTCTAAGGAAATGACCAAGAAACCAGAAGGTGGTGCTGTGGCTCAAACGGTAGCATGCTATCCTTAAGCAAAAAAATCTCAGGGATAGCTTCCACCCAGACCCTGAATCTCTGTGGCCCAAACTTCCTTTCTACTATGGGACAGGTATGTGAACACCTTGTACCAGCTGCTCTCAGATTTCAGAGGGAAGAGAAATAACCTGGATGATGGGAAAGTAAGAAAACCCAAAACTAATAACTATGCCCCAAATGCAAGGCCTGGTGCTCAAAACATTATATAACAAATGTCCTCTTCAAAATAAAAATTGGGGACAGATACCATTATTTTGCTAGAGAGATGAGAGCATTTAAGATTATGTGAAGCAATATGATACAGGATCAAACTGATGGCACATATTAAACCCTCAAATTGATCCCAAATATGTAATTTCCCAGCCATGTCTTTACTTAGGCATCTAGTATCATTGAAGAAAACGGTAACTCATTTGGGTGCATTATTACACAAGAAGAGCAGTAAATGGAGTTTATCTGGTGGAATTTCCTTGCAGAAGCTGCTATAACTTCACACTTCTCATCATGGCCAAGTATCAAGAGGACCACTACTGGCTCACTCAGCTCGCACCTTTACTTCTGTATTTCACTGACAGCAAGTAGGCTGCCTACAGATCTATACTCCAAGTGTTGAAAGAACATACAACATACAGCTAGGGAGGGAAATGTCTACCAAACCCAAGTAGGACCTTCCCACAAAGCCCACAGCAAATAACACAAGAGGATATCAAAACTCTGAGGTTATGCTATCTGGTTTTGCATTCCAACTCCACAACTTCTTAACTGAGTTACCTTGGAAGAGTTACCTTACTTTATATGCCTCTGTTACCCACTAGTAACCTACTAGTGCATAATATAAAGTATTAAGAATGGTGTCTAGTACTGAAAGTGTTAGCTGTTTCTAAATATATGGTAGTCACTGTCCTTTTATTTTTCTCTGCCTTTCTCTGAATAATTTCCAGTTATTCAGCTTCTTTTTCTCTCTTATCATCAATGCACGCCGTGTGTGTGTGCGCGTGCATGCACACGCACGCAGGCATGCACGCACACGTGTGTGTGTGTGTGTGTGTGTGTGTGTGTGTGTCCATACTAAGTCTTGAACTCAGTACCTGGGTGCTATCCATTAACTTTTCCCTCAAGAATAGCATTCTACCAATTGAACCCCAGATCCAAGGCCAATATTTTGCTGGTTAACGAGTCTCATAGAATTTATTGCCCAGGCTCCTTGAAATCTCAATACTCAAATCTAAGCCTCCTGAGTAGCTAGGATTACAGGCCTGGCAATGCAAACTCTTTTTTTGTTTTTTTGGTTAGTCATGGGGCTTGAACTCAAGGCCTGGGCAGTGTTCCTGAGCTCTTTCCTCAAGGCTAGCACTCTACACTTCGAGCTACAGTGCCACTTCCAGTTTTTTGGTGGTTAATTAGAGATAAGTCTCACGGACTTTCCTTCCTGAGCTGTCTTTGAACCACAATTCCCAGATCTCAACCTCCTGATTAGCTAGGATTACAGGCCTGAGCCACCAGTGCCCAGTGTTGGCAGGCTCTTTTTAAGAAGTAACCACTTCTGGTGACTTCTATATGCCATGATATTCAAAAGAGGTTTTACAAGCTACTTTGATAAGCATGGAAAGAGTTTGTGTTCAATAAATTTGCTTGGGGGTCAGTTTTGCTCATCATTTCTGCAACATGTTGTTCTTGGCCAAAATTAAGAACTCAGCAAATATAAAGGGAAAGGCTCAGAGGAAGCCTGTTGACCTCCTACAGATCTCAGATCTCAGACATGGTGAGAGAATGAAGAAAATAAAGGGTTATGAAGACTCTGTAAAGGATTGGTACACTCTGTCTGTAACTCTCCAACTCTACTAAGTCTCAGATTCTCTTTCCCAGGATATCAGCAACTCACAAAAATCACGTTTTAAGTGCTTTGTTTAGAAAAGTTTCTGGAACAAAATATATTTGCGAAAGTGCATATTTAATTTCTGGTGATTAGCAGTTTACATGAGCCTATAAAGGCTTCCCCTAAGTCTTAGAATAAAGAACCTTTTTTTGACCTAACATTTCAAATTCTATATTAACAACTTTTGAGTTATTTGAGAAACAAGTTTTTAAGGAAAAACTTTGAAAACTAACATTTTTTGCCCCCTTTTTTAACAGCATTAATGAGGGAGGGAGGGAGAAGCCTCCTTGGATCAGAGAAGTGAAAGGGGGTGAATTTTTGTTCTACAAAGACTTTCTGAAGTGGAGTGGGTGGTTGAGGCAACACTGGGGGCTCATACCCAAGAGCAGTATTCTTTTAATTCTTTCTTAATCATAAATTTTCAGCCCAGTCAGTCAATCAGGCCTTATTAGCTGTCAAATGCACTTCTAAGAATACAATTACATTGTAACAAATAAAAACCACCAGGTTGAGGAGTACTTTCTTTGCTTCTGATTTTGTGTGAGTCTAACCTATTCTTTGCATAATTTCTACAAATTATTTGGAAATTTGGCACGCTGGGAGGTCTTAAGCAGCATAAAAGGGATTACTAAATAAGCCAATAGGATATCACTTAATAACCTGGAAACCAGCTGTCTATGGTCTGATTTTATGACTTCTGTGAACTAAAATTAACCTATATCACTGTAACAGTGCAACCCAAGGTTATAGCTCGCAAGCAAAATAATTCTTTTCCTCTCCCAAATTGCTTTAGCCTAATCACTTGCCCTCTTCCTTCAGCAGGGGAAGCCGGGGTGTGGCTGAAAAGTACAGGAGCTTCATTAATTTCAAATATCAAATTACTGGATGACTTCAGCATTCCAAGGTTTGCAGCTCCGCATTCTAATTATTCATGGTAACAGGAAGCACAATTTATAATTACCTTTGTTGTAAAGGTTCCACAAAAGACTAATGACAGAGAGGGAAATACAGAGCCCTAAATTCTGTAGTTTTTATGACTGCTTTCAGCATGGATTCATTTCCCCCAGGAAAATGAAAGCAACTCCATTGCTAGGAAGAGATTAAGGTGAGGGTGCCATCTAGTGGCTGTTATGAAAAACATGCCATGAACCTCAAGCACTTGGATCTACTCACTCAGCCAAGCCCAGAGGAATTAGCAAGTGATGTGCATCTTATTACTACAGTCTTTACAGCTCAGGCTCCTGTCTGCACCAACAGCTAGCTCATGGAGATTTCCTGAATAATTAATGCAGATTGACTGAAGGTTCTAAATGTACAGCCACTTTTACATCTCCTTTTTTACATGCATTTTATAAAGACAAGTTACCCCTCAGGCTTGTAGACTAGTAACCACACCTCCTCCTCCTACGTTATGTCTATGCATGATTGGAGTATGCTGTGTAGCTGGTGTGGCTCTGCTTGCTTTTATTTTTGAGGGGAGAGTGCATGTCGTCATCTGTTTCCTGAAATACATTCCCACCTTAACCTAACTCACTCTTGTACATTTCTTCTGTACTTGATAAAGAATTGTCAGTGGGGCCCAGGATCCTGGTTCAAAGCCAGCACAAGCAGGAAGATCTAAGAGATTCTTTTCTCTGATTAATCAGTAAAAAGCTTAAAGTGGTTCAAGTGATAGAAGCCATAGCTGGTAGAGCCACAACTGGTAGAGCAACAGCTATTTCAATCTTGAAGAAGACAGCTAATCAAGACTGTGAAGTCCTGAGTTCAAGCCCCAGTACCAGCTCACGCACACACACACACGCACGCACACTCACACAAACACACACAGTAATGATAATGATGATGATGATAATCATTATCATTTTCTTCAGCTGAATTGCAAAGTCTATCAGCCAACTACATTTTGTGAAATTATACAGACATGAATTTAATGCAATTGTGTAAGTCTTCTTAAACTTCGTGTTCCTGTTCTATAAAATATACTTGCCCTATTTCCAAATATGACTGCTATCTAATCAACTAGATTAGTTTCCTGTTGGAGGAAATGTATTTCTACCGTTCTTTATTGTCTTCTACAATGTTCGTGCATTTCCGACACACCACAGGCACTCGGGAAATGCATAGGGGTTGTCCAGGACTCTGAGTATTCCCTATGTACATAGGTCCACAGTGCCATGCCCTCCCAAATGTAAAGTTCATCTATTAGAAGACTGGCCATATCAGTTCTTTCTAATATAGTGCTTGGTACAGAATAGGTACTCCATTAACAACAATAAGTGAATAACTACTTAAGCCAAACTTTATTTAGCACCTTCCAAGTAGTATTCTAAGTGTTGACACTTCCCTGTCATATTCCAAATTCCTGAATCATCTCTTTACCTTTGTTGAAGTGACTGGTTCGCTGATGGAAGAAACTGGAATATGAAAGAATGAACAATAAGAGAGTTTTGAACAATAAAAAGGTTCTGTATATCTGTTCTCCACATATAAACTCTATGCCTAAGGAAAGAAATGCGTAAGTACATAATTACAGCGCAAGTTCCACAGTTCAGATGGGTGAAAGGGAATTGTGAAATTACAGAGGATCACTTATGGTATTGGTTTTGCCTGAGATGGTCTCAGTGAACATCATTTGTGACTTTCATTAAGCAAAGGGATGCTTTTGCGAACCAAATGGGAAGAGCCAGGCTTGCCCACAGCTGTACTCACCCTCAGCCACATCGTCGTCCACTGTCAATTTCAGACTTTTTCCTCTCCGCACCACCCGGACGGTGTGCCATTCATTGTCATTGAGCTTCTGCCCTGCGTACAGGGTCTCAGGTCCTTTGCCTAAGTGAGGATGGTGGTAAGTGCCAAAGTTAGAATCAGTTCTCCAAGGAATGCTGGTGACATCAGAGTTATCAAAGCCACACTGGTGCACATGAGCCAGCATCAGCAGATGAACAGATCACTTCCCCCTACTCTCACCCCACTTCCAACAACCCAGCAAGTTCCTCCACAGTAACACCAGGAAACAGAGGTCTCAACTCAAACATAAAGAAGGATACAAGTGTCCTCCTGCACCTATAAATACAAGGTCTTAAAATACCAATTGGCAACCAAAGAACATGTATAGGAATTGGTAGATGGCTGCCCTTTGTTTTTCAAAGTCTTCAATTGAAATGAATTTCTTGGTGACTTGAGGAAATTTCTCATCTATTTTAAAGAATTATTTGGGGTATTTAGGCATGATACACCAGTATGGCTTTTAGCACAAATCCACCCATTGGATGAAAAAAGAACTCTACAACATATGTTGCCTTAATGTGACATTTCTGTCAACCCATCATCCTATCAGAATTCAATGGCCATAGAAATCATCATAATGAACCTCACAATAGAAATAATGTCAAGGTGTACTCCTGAAGGGAATGATTTATCTCATCGTTCATCTTCCTTTGAAAAGATCCCAAGGCCTAAAATGTGAAATAGTGTAAATGCCCAACATTCAACCTTTTTAAGTCAAAAGAATATTTCATGGAAAGTGTTGCTCAGTAAAAGGATAAGTCAAATGTTCTCAAGAGATGTTCTAGATGCTCAAGTGAAATTCAAGTGCACTTCATAAAAAATAGGAGCAACGAGGAATTATTGAAGGACAAAAGATAGCAAGGGAGAGTAAAAGAATAAAAGGTTGTCAAAAGAGAACTGAGGCAAAAATGTAATGATAATGAGGTGCATAGAACCAGAGGTCTTAGACAAAGTTTCTTCTAAACAATAAGCCCAGACAGGAATATGTTGAATAGGTGTTTCTAAATTAATCAATCTATATGTGTAAAGCCTTATCCTTGAAAATAACTTGGAGAAAAAGATAAAATATATAAATGAAGTTACTGCATATTGCTTACTAATACACACATGCACACGCACACGCGCGCGCACACACACACACACACACACACACACACACCACTTAGAAAGACATCTCTAAGTAATTTTAAACTGCACTTCTTAAATGTAAGTGGTAAAAAAGAAATGTAAGTGGTTTTCTTCTGTCTGCTAGTTATAAGGGTTATGGCAATAACACCCAGGGAAATTCCTCTCTTGAAAAATGAGCAGAATTTCTTTTAATGAAAAGGTTTTTTATTATAACATACATAGCAAATAATTTGTGTTTAAAAAATTTCCAAAACATTTCTGCATTTCAATTACAAACCAAACTGACAGAAATCAAATAGACCCACATGTACATAATGAGTACTCAATTTACTGAGTAACTCATTCAATATATCTTTGGGGGAAAAATGTAATTCTATAATAAAGCCTTTTACTCCATCTCAGCTTTTCTTTGTGAGCAGGTTTGTCTTTAGAATTTTCTAAAAAATATGCATTGCAATGGGATGTCCTCGTCAATTCATCTCCTTAGATACCACTGCCCATTATCTCCTGCAACTCAACTTAAAATCAGTGCACCGGCAGCCTGTACAACAGCTAACCGAGAGGGCAATGAACAAGAAAATGGACCTTGGTAAGTGTGTACTTTACAACAAGAACAGATGTTCTCAGAACAAATAAATCTTCCTTTGTGTTTTAATATTTGGATCTTCTTTTATTCTACATGTAAATGCTTCCATAAGAAAGAGGGAAATATAGACCAACGTGGACAATACTGGCTGTCGGGGCAGAACTGTGGCACATACCTCTCCTATAAGGGGGTGTCTATGCTGTGTGAAACTTTTTTGCATATTGCTTAATTTCTATACTTAAAGGCAAGATAAGAGTGAGAATGAGGAACACAAATCTAGCCCATGTGGGGACATTGGGTGTCATATTATCCATAGCGTTGTAAAGATTATCTCCACTCAGTGTTTTGTTTTTTCAGTTGGTCACAGGGCTTGAACTCAGGGCCTGGGCACTGTCCCTATGGGTTTTGTTGTTGGTTTTTTTTGCGCAAGGCTGGAGTGCTACCACTTGGAGCCCCAGCAATACTTCCAGGTTTCAGGTGGTTAAAAGGAGATAAGAGTCTCACTGACTTTCCTGTCCAGGCTGGCTTTGAACTGTGATCCTCAGATCTCAGTCTCCTAAGAAGCTAGAATTAGATAGCCCGAGCCACCAGCACCTGTCTAGCTCAGTGTGTTTTAGGAGATGCTAACATTACACTTCAGTGCTTATGGTACCTGGACATACCCAGAGTAACCAGACTTAAACACAAAACTTTACCCATTCCTTTCACTAAGGTTTTAGAATGTGATGGCTTTTAACTAAAAAATGTGATGGGAAAAAAAAAAGAAAAAGAACGTTCTCACCACCTACTAGTTACACTTGACACCTCTCCTGTTCTTATTACTCTAAGAGCAGAAAAGACGATTAACACACATCACATGTTACATTCAAAAGGCAGAGAATCTCATTCACTCTTCATTTCCAAGTAAACTCTCAGCCTCCAGAAGTGAAGAGGCGTGGCATTTATCATTAAGCAAAAAAGTCAACTCATCCTACTACTAAAAAAGCAATTAAAAATGTCATCCAGAAATGAATATAGAGAAGATGGGCAAAGCAAATCCATGACCCAGTCAGAAAACTGGATTCATAAGTGATACAAGATGCAGAGGCAAGCCCAAGGTTGAAACATACAAATTCAAACCGTCTCCTTTTCAAAGCAGAAGCAGCTAGGAAGGGAAGAGACTTTCTGACTCGAGAAAAAGCCAATGGTCCAGTACCAAAGAAATGAGGACTATAAAAAGTTCTTCACTGTGAATAAAGAATGGTGGCCAGACAGAAAATTAAATTTTTAAATGGAACTAGCAAGAACATATAAAGTTATCTTAAAAATTATCTCAAAGATATAAATTCTCCCCCTCCCCCCCTCTCTCCCATTGTTTTTATACCGTTAGTAGGGCTTAAACTCAAGACCTCATGGTCTCACTTGGCCTTTTTGTTCAGGACTGGTGCTCTGTCACTTGAGCCACACCTCTACTACTGGATTTTTGTTGTTAATTGGAGACAAGAGTCTCACAGACTCTCCTGCGTGGGCTGGTTTTGAATGGTGATCCTCAGATCTCAGCCTCTTGGGTAGCTAGAATTATGGGCATGAGCCATCAGCACCTGGCTTTTACACTTTTTAGTAACCAAAACATTTATGCTCAGCATTTGGCCACTTCTTAGATTATGTGTAGATGTATTTCCCTTTCTTTTATAATGTAAGTAATAAATATTGATCACATGAAAACCATTCGAATCTCTTAAGGCTGCTTAGCTCATCACTGCTAAAGCTAAGTAAAGAAAATTAATAAATTATCTTACACCTTTTAGTTGAATTTCCCAAGTAAAGACTGTGATGATTGCAAATAAAGCAAAATCACGAAGGAAGATTTCTGGGATTCATAGATGTGAAGGAATAGAGTTTTGAATTCTTTATTTTTATAAAACAAAGAGCCTTCAATGAACCATGAATTCATTTGGCGATGTAATCCAAGAGCTCAGTTTCTGAGGGAATGCTTTGTCTTAGTGATCTGATAAATTTGGGGCAAAAGAAAGAGGAGAGGGTCATAATGAAATGCACTAAGATTCTTTTCTTGACCCCCCTAACAGTAGGTCTGAGAGAACCCTAGCTTTCAAGAATCCAGAATAAGCAAAGTAAAACACAAGAAAAAGGTTCATTTTGAGAGGGGAAAAACATTCCTGATTGCTTGAAAGAAGATGACACAGATACTCACTAATTCTTCTCCTGGGCAGATTGGAGGTAGAAGAGTTTGGTAAGAATCTGTTCATGGACATTCTCAAGGCTCATACATCCACAAGACACATTTTGGGTTTTAATTGTCTTTAACCAACTTAGCCTTTTTAGAACCAGACTGTTCACAATACATGAACTTGTTATTCCCTCCAGGAGCAATGGAATCCACAAAGTTACAAGCAAACTTGAGTTATACAATGTTGGTTGATATATTTCTATGACCAAACCAAACCAGCTAAACCATATGATTTTGCTCATACACAGGGAGTAGAAATTCCTTCCATCACTGTTTCCAAAAGTGAGTAGGAACCTTTGGAAACTTCTTTGCTCAGATGAGAGAGAGAGAGAGAGAGAGAGAGAGAGAGAGAGAGAGAGAGAGAGAGAGTGGAGTGGGCAACACCTATGTTCTACCAAAGATTTTCCTTTTGTACAAAAAGGAAAAAAGAAACAGTCATCTCATTACTCCTACAGCCACATTTCACATGAATTAAAAAAAAAGTCAATGAGGCATTCAAACAGAAAACTTACCCTCCTAGAAAGGCATAGTGAGAAATTATTATAGTGATCAATCTGAAGGATACAGCTCAAATGATTAGCATATGACATGGAAAGAAAAACCAAAAATGCTTACACAGAGAACACTTACCTTTATTTCCACCAGCACTTCCTGTGAGGCCAGCTGACTAAGTAGCTGCTAAGCATGCTACTAAACTCACAGTACCACATACTTCCAGCAGTCATTCTCCCCACAGATAGATTATGCACATAAAAGCAGGGGTGGAGAAGAAAAGGAATGAGACTAAGAGGAAGAAGGAGTCACAGGGGAAAACAAAGCATTTTAGTTTTTGCTCACAAAAATTTCAGGCGATGGTTGTTTTGCTTTGGGTTCATAATGCAAAATAGATTGAGAAAGTGTTTAGCTGAATTGTTACAAACTGACCAACTTATTTGGATAAGTTCATCTTTAAAGAATTTTTTTTTTTTTGTCAGTCAGGGGGCTTGAACTCTGGGCCTGGGCACTGTCCCTCAGCTCTCCAGCTCAAGGTGAGCACTCCACCACTTGAGCCACAGCACCACTTCCGGATTTCTGGTGGATACGAGTCTCACAGACTTTCCT